TGTACATGACAGAAATTGCCTTTGAAGCATTTTTAAATCTGGCAATGATGCCGTACAATGAACTGGGTGAGATTGTGTACGCATATAAACAGCATAAATAATTCTCATTGGGTTTATTTACAATTAGGTATAAGGAGTATCTTTCGGTGTGAATATACAAAAAGGGCGCTCGTCATTGCATGTGATTATATCGCATAGCGAAGTTTGCAGGTTTCTGTGAACTTCGTGACAGTGCAGACGCATTGCAGTATTGCCGTTGAACATGTGCAAAATCCTTTAACATAGATTTTTTTTATCTGTGTCTGGGGGAATGCGGACGACGGCAATTACTTCAGTGGGGTATGGCTTTGCATATCCAGTGCATAATTTTTGTAAAGTGAAAGGCAAGGCTGGCCAAGAGAATGGATTGCATTTAGTGATTTCACTAAATGAGTACCTCTCGAGTACGCCTTGTTTTTCATTATAATGGATAAATTTCAAATATTCTCACTTTTTACTTGCGTTAACAGTGTTACACCCTACAGTACGTGCGGGATATGTAAAGCGCACCCTGAAAGGGTTTTCTTATGTCGATGGGATCCTAGTCACTTTGTGAATTTATTTAAACACGTTTGTCCGTCAGTCCATTTATTTTGTATGCAACCTGCAAGGCTTATTTTTTGAGATATTTTAAGCTAATTTGTGGTCCACCGACGACGTGTTTTTGTTTAAGCGACGTATCGCTTTGAAAATGCATAGGATCAGGCCTTTCTAGGAACACTGCACATATAACGGCTCTTTTTTTCATATAGTCAAATATGAAAAAACTTGTGGTTTTCGAAATTTCTAGAAAAAATCGCTGAGTAATCGTATTTCCAAAAACTAATTTAACGTGAAAATTTTGAATCGCTAGTCCGCATAGGCAAGTTTTTATATGGCAACAATGTGTAACTTTTACTACTTTATGACGAAAAACCATAAGTTCTTTGACAAGAAGTTGGAAAACGTCAGTTTTGGACCTTGTCGCATATGAAGGCTCCCATAAGAAGATGGATGCGAGATATAATTGTTGCTATTTTATTACGGAAGCGTTGTAATGTATATGATTGCAGACCTTTCCAGGTTTGTTTTCTTGCTTGTTTTAAATTGGTTTCATTTGCTTATTTTCAGATAACTTGGATTGATGAGAATGAGAACGTCGATGCTGGAAACGGTAAAACTGTGGACATTAGCGGTTTATCTACTTTGTTACCATTATCTGTTGAAAATTCGACAAAAAACAGTTCCCTTCAAAATCAGGAACATGTTGCTGTGCAACGGAACGATCAATCCATAACTAATGTAGAAGAGCCGCTGATTGACGGGAATGGAAACGTCACTATAACAAACGTTGAGGTTGTGGACATTAACAGTTTACCTGCTTGCTTATCATTGTCTGTTGAAAATTCGACAATAGACCTTAATTTTCAAAGCATTCTTCAAAATCAGGAACATGTTGCTGTGCAACGGAACGATCAACCACCAATTAATGTAGAAGAACCGTTAATGCAAGATACGGTACGCTCGTATCTGCTAGATTATTCAAGCGAAGCTCCGCTAGATTTATCACTAAATAAAACAATGTGGAATGCAACAAATTGTTGCTCCATGCAATTAAGAAAATCAGCAGATGACTGTGCACCGTTGGACTTGTGCGTCAGGAGCAGCGCTAATATGGTACCGCAAATAAACAACAATAACAATTTAAATAAGGAACAACATAGTTTGAGTGTTAACGAAGATGTTTCATTTACTAATATGTTGGATTCGCCCTTCTTGGGCTTTGATGAGCACGAATTCAATATTCATAGTACTATAACACAAACTAGCTCTCATGCAAGTATTAAGGAGGAAATGCAAAGTAAGCTATTCATAATTATTTCGTTTGCAACCTTCTAAAATTTGATCTTATAGTTAGCTTAAAATCTTCGACGAACGACGATTCCATGCGTATTTCAGTGAGTAATGTCAATTGTGCCATAGAAGGAAAAGCAGAAAACGGGATGCTTTTTTCGGATAACCAATTTGGTATTAATTACAACGAAAATGGAGAAAATTCAAATCCATCTGAAAATAAAACGAT